AAAAAAAAAAAAAAAAAAAAAAGAGGAGAGCGTCGTCGTCGCGCAAAAAGCGGTAAAAAGCGCGAGAAGCGGAGGAAAAAGGCTCTCTGCGAGAACTGCTTTCGCTCGAGGCTGATTCAATCAACTTTTTCAATCGGCAGCAAGGTTCGTTTTTAACGTTGCACGTTCCGCCTTCGAACCAGGAAGTTCTCGCGAACGAAGCAAGTTGGGCCAAATTATACGCGCCAGCAGGACACTTCGTCCTTGTAATTCATTCCTTGAAATGTCCTTCGAGTCGCTCCGATTTGCAAACAGACAACGGATAACGAGGACACTTCACTCGATATCGGAATTGATAGCCAGGCTGCGTGGAAATTTGTCAGCAGCTTGACCCTCGAAGGATAAGGCCGGAACCTTGAGCTCCTTGGATTTAATAATAGAAATTACTAAACGCACGTAACGTGTGCCCGCGAAATGGTTTACGATCACGTGGCGATGGTCAGTGAAAATTCAAAGGACGCGAGGACGTGTCAAGGCGAAGATGGCCTTAAAGTTGTCGAACATAATACAACGTCGAAGGAAATTTAGAAATGGAATACGGAGGATTGTACGTTGCAAAGTTAACATTATACAAGCCAGCGATATTTCGCATGATCGTGTAGAGCGAGGATGGAAATCAAAGCGAGTTTATTATATTGTTTCTAGAGATTGTATAGTTGTATACTAACAACAAGAATAATAGTTTTAAACAAACGTATATTTAATAGTTTGAATATATTTAAACATAGTATGTTTAATTGAAATATATTTAAATTAATTATATTTAACAATTAGTTAATTTAAAATGTAGTATATTTTAAATATAGTATATTTGGAGTACATACCATAGTATTATAAAATTATTAAATATACATTTTTAATTTTATAATAATTATTTAATAACTTTTTTTCACATTGAATAATAACTATTGAATAATAGTTGTTTCAAATAATAACTATTGAATAAGATTTGAAAGATCTCCCTAGTGAAATAACGTTGAAATTTCCCCCGAGAAAGTAAATCAAAATATATATTTGTGCATCAGGAAAGATACTTGGAATAGTCATAAACAAATACCAAACATATTCTTTGAAAATGTTGCAATAAACATCCTGTTTTGTGGCGCGGAACGGATTTACGAAGGCTAAAGTTTCTGGCGATGCATAGTGCAAAGAGTTATTATTTCATGTACAAACTAAAATGGAAAAATTCTGCTTTTCCTTTTTTCTTTTTAATCAAAAAAACTTTCATTATAATGTGTACAGAATTTTCAGTATCTACTCCCCCTGGCAACATACGATATCAATGTTTTAAACGAACGTTAAAACTGCAATCGCAAATGACGCGAAAATACGTCGATAACAAGGGAACATATCGAAGTGCGAATCACTGATTTTGATGGAATTTGACAGAAAAAAATATTATTTTTCATCGGCAATCGTCGATGAAAACCACCCTTAAAGTTGAGGGCGCAGAACATATTTTGTCAAATATCTCGGAGATTATCAAAGGTACCGCATAAATTGATGAAATTAGTGTTTCTAAAAGAAGCTTTGCTTTTGTCCAAAACAATATATTTGAAAAAACACATGCATTTCTCATAAATTGTTCCAAATATTCATTCATGAAAACTATATATTTCAAACACAAATTTGAAAATGGTATCTCGATCCTTGCATTGTAAAGAAATTCATTAGTTTCAAATCTTTCTCGCTGGATGTATAACCAATGGTTATACAAGTGACGCAGAATAATTCCTAGTTCAGCTGGCTTCCTACGTTCCTAATTTCCCAAACCCGCTTCCGCTTTATCCAATTTATGTCGGCGGACGATCACAGCGGGACTGAACAACCCCGCGGAACTCGAGACTACCAAATTGCGGTGCTATACGTGACCTGTTAATCGCGTACGCGAGCGCAGCGTGCCATGCGCTCGGACGTGGACGTTTCCTCTATCCCCGGGGGCTTCAATCACAGCGACGGAACCGGGTCTATAAATTTGTCAGCCGGGTTAGCGGCTTGGTCGTTGCACGACGATCGTGCACAACTCACAAAGAGGGTGGGGGGAGCAACGACGTGGAAAATGTCATCCTCGTGGCGGAAGAGGAGTCTCGACCGTGGGATGTGGGTCACATCTTGTGGCTGTGATCCGTCATTGAAAAAGCGGGGAAATAGCGACGATGGACGCCGCCTCGGTGACACCGTGTTCGCGTCACCGGCCTAATGACCGTCCATTACTTAATGCCCGTGATTTTCAGAGAGGCCTGGCGCGTCCTTTGCGACGAGACGTGTCCGCGCGAGTGGCAGTCGGTCACGTCTCGGCTCCCAACCGAGCGTCGCAAACGACGAGGAACCGTTTCGAGACGAGACACCTTATCTTCTCAGACGCCGGTGAGAAATCGAATCTTTTGACGAGCCTGATCGACGACACGACTGTACGTTATCGGTGACGCATTACTCATACAGCAAGGATACTTGACTTTTCCGAACGTGTAGTTCTCTACCCTTTTCGTCGTCTGAAAAATCATCTTCGATATCGTCTCCGTACGTTTGTACGAAATTAATGTAAATT